TCCAGTGGCGTCCAGGCGACCTCCCCGCAGGCCTGGCCGCTGCCTTGGGGACGGCTTTGTGCTGGCCGGGGGAGGTGGGGCCGAGGGCGGGAGCGGGAGGGAGCCGGAGGTGGGTCCCGCGGCCTTTCCTGGGATTCGATGGCGACACTCCCTTCCCCCTCCGCCGAGGCGCGTCCGGGGCCGGGAGCCGGCTGCTCTTGGTCCAGGTGCGCAGGGGCCACCTTTTGGCTTCCCCTGGTGGCTTCCCCTGGTGGTGTGGCTCCCCCGCGGAGACCTTGCCACAGGCGTCTCCTCCGGGGCAAGGGCAGGGCGCCTGGAGGCCGGGGGCTTCCTTGGAGGAGTGGCCGGGACCATTCCCAAACTGGGGGGACCCTGAGCGGCCAGAGGGCCTGCCCTGCGGTGGAGACGGGGCGCCGTCCTCGGAGTGAAGCCGTGGGTAGGGCAGGCATATGGAACAGCACGTGCCGTCCTCCTGAAAGTCCACCGGGCGTCAGGACCCCCTTTACCTACCAACCAGAAGCGCAGTGCGTGCTGCGCGCGGGGGAAGGGCTCGCTCCCGGACGCGGGGGGAGGGCGGGAGCGGGGGCCGCGGAGGGAGGCCAGGCTGGCTGACCGCCCCGCGCTCCCCCCACGCGCTCTCCGTGGCTTTTAAAAAGATCACCACTCGATTTTGAAAGCTTCAGGAGCCAAAAGCCGAGATGACAGCAGGGTGTTTTAAGTTTGTTTTGATCTTCGTGTCAAAAATGGTTCCTAATCTAGGGAATGTCGGATAAGACTTACTGTAATTCCTTAATTAAATCACGCAATTAACGTTTGGTGGCACTGCCTAGTTTTGTGATACGACACCACTGGAACGAATTAAGAATGAAAACGGGTGGGTTTTTATTTTCACCTGTTATATATACTTAGCTCCAAGAAAGACAATGCATTTAGTATTGAAATTAAGTTATAAACACTGGCAATCTTGTTTTACTACAATGCGTTACCTAATTTCTATGGGTAATAACTATCTAGGGTTACATGTACACATATTTAATGGAAATAGCTTTTATCTATTTATGGTTTCCATGAGTTAATTTTGTATCTCTATGAACAACACGCTGCAAGGAGAAGCACCCTTGGACCTCACTTGCCTCACTCACTCTGCTTGGGCTATTGAGAGATGCTGGAAATTAATAAATGAGTTCTGGGTAATTTCTGCAAACCGTAGCCTAGTTTTCTTAATAATCTAATGGAGAACTGGCAGGCATGGGTCCCGGCTTTATGTACCTGAAGCTTAGCAGTTGTGTATGTTAGGTGGGGTGGGGGTGTGGACTCATAAGGTAAAAAATACCTGGGCACTTGCTGGGGCTTCCTGCCTGGGCAAGGCGGGGTCCTGAATCTTGAGCTTTGTCAGCTTCCTCCTAAATCTGCCTAGGAGGCCTGTCTGTATTTTCTGAAAGTAACCTAAAAGAACCCACACAGGATATTTTTCCATAAACCTATCAAAGTATAGGCAGACTTTTGGATAGCATTCGGAGGTAATTTCAGTGAGCAAGTCTAGACTGAAGTAGTTGCATCACCTTTTTTTTACCGTTGTGGGCTTTTCAGATTGAAATGTCCTGCCTTTTATGTTTGGCAATGTTGATGCTATCGCTAATTAAAGCAAAGTATTTTTAGGACAGTTTGTCTTTGTACATATTTTAAAATTCTCTGTTCCCCTTTCTTAAATTTCGTGAAGATTTATCACCTTTGTCAACAAGCAAGTGTATTCTGGCAAGGCAGTGATGGATTTAGAAACTGTTATCTTACTGCCATATGTATAATATATATTCAGAGAGTATATATATGTGTGTGTGTGCATATATATATAGTATTTGATACCCACAGGTGTTTTTCTTTACATAAATCTGTTTTCTGATTATCTACTATTTGCAACACATTCGGATAGAAATTATAAGAGAATAAAGGGATGTGTAAGACAGGCCGTGTCCACAAGAAGCTTATACTCTAGTGGAAGGTGAGACATGAACAAATATAATTTACAAAATTTAAAAAAATTAATTACAGTTGACATACAATATTATATTAGTTTCAGGTGTACAATGTAGTGGTCAGATTTTTATATAACTTAGAAAGTGATCATGCCAGTAAGTCTAGTACCTGTCTGACACCATACATAGTTATTACAATGTTATTGACTATATTCCCCGTGCTGTACTTTATATCCCCATGACTATTTTTATAAGTGGCAATTTGTACATCTTAATCCCTTACCTTTTTTCACCCACCCCCCGAACCCCCTCCCATCTGTGACTCTGTTTCTGTTTCATTTGTTTATTTTGTTTTTTTGGATTATTCCACACATAAGTGAAATCGTATGGTATTGGTCTTTCTCTGTCTGACTTATTTCACTTAGCATAATATCCTTTAGGTCCATCCATATTGTTGTAAATGGCAAAATTTCATTCTTTTTTTGTGGCTGAGTAATACTTCATTGTATATATGCACCAACCATATCTTCTCTCTCCAGTCATCTATTGATGGACACTTAGGTTGTTTCCATATTTCGGTTACTGCAAATAACACTGCAGTAAACATAGGGGTGCATATTGTCTTTTCAAATTAGTGTTTTGGGTTTCTTTGGCTAAGTGACCAGAAGTGGAATTGCTGGGTCATACCGTAGTTTACTCTTTTTCCATAGTGGCTGCACCAGTTTACATTCCCACAACAGTTCTCAAGGGTTCCCTTTTCTCCATGGCCTCACCAGCACTTGTTTATTGATTTATTGATGATAGCTATTCTGACAGGTGTGAGGTGATATCTCATTTGGTTTTAATTTGCATTTCCCTGATAATTAGTGATGCTGAACTGAACAGACATGATTTTAATTAAGGCAATACCTGGTAAGTTACTAAAAGAAAATTCAGTAGCGTATTTATCAGGTCATGGTATATCAACCCCTGTTCTCCCCACCCACTTGACTTTTGCCTAGGACAATTACTTTTAGTTATTCTGTGTGCTTTATCTGAAGGAGCCTGGCCAGTATTCTAGAAAGGAAATGGACAGTGCCCAAAGTGATAGATATCTCATGTGGATAACCTTTTAAGTAATGGGATGAAACTTTTTAATTAAACTTTTACTCTTTAGTTTCATAAATGCATATGTTTGTTTCCATTTGGCTACATAAAATATTTTTTAAGATCATAAATACTAAGAATGAATCATATCTTTCTTAAGCCACTAAAAGTACACACTCATTTATTCAACAAATATGTCTTGAGTGGCACTGTGCACCAAGCATTGATCCAAGCATTGAGATTCACTAGTGAACGGAACAAAGTCCCTACCCTGGTGCTGCTTACATTCTAGTTGGGGAAAACAAACAGTAAATCAATCAAGGGGTAAATGCATAATGAATTACGCGGTGATAAGTGCTATGAAGGAAAACAAAGCAGGTTAGAGGGGTTGATTATAATAGGGATCTATTTTATATAAAGTGGTCAGGGATGCCTCTCTGATGAGATGGCCCTTGAGCAGAGACCTGAAGGCACTGAGGGATAAAACACTGAAAATACCTGGAACAAGAGTGTTTCTCAGGCAGACAAGAGCAAGTGCCAGGGCCCTGAGCTGGGACCGTGCTTAGCCTGTCCTAGGATCGGAAAGGAGCCCAGTGTGGGCGAAGCAGAGAGGTAGAGAGATAATGGCCCTATCAAGTAAACTAACAATCAATTCTCTACTTACTAGTATACTAAAAAACAGAAAAAATTATAAATGGTCCTGGCAGTCAAGAGGTAAGTACAGAATCGGCTAATAGCATCAGTCTTGTCTTTCCCGGAGTATTATCGGTTTAATGGTTAGTGTTCTCTTCCCGACGATCGGTTGAATTCGGCCCGCGCCTTAATTTAGAGAGGAATGAACGAACAGGTTCTGGAAGACCCCTGGGAATCAGAACTGAGAAGGAGGGACCGAGTACAGATGGGGTTTGCTCTGACAATCCCACTTCTCTAAAACTCGTAATTTAAAAACCTATCGCTCTTCTGGGACTCTCTCAATCCTTTAACATTCGCCTCCAGCAAAAATAAGGCTTGCCTTTCATGCCTTCCTCTTGACCACAGTCGATTTCTGCCAACTTGTATCTATCGGGAAACACAGGCGTGCCCCTTGCCTGAAAGTGAGACCCTTGTAGACA